TTTAATTTCAAAATTCCTTTCTTTTCTCAAGATCAGTTAAATCATTGCTTAGTTTTTATTCTATCTTTTATCTTTTCTCTTTTACCTTTATCTCTGTAATAAATCTGTCAGGAATTTATGTGAGGCTAGGCCCAAACTTGATGTTTTCTCCCCAAATACCAATACAGTTTTTTTTTCAACAACTATTTAAAATTCCTGTATTCCTCAGATTTTTGAAGCTTCCTTTGGCTTGTTTTAAGTAATCATGTGTGATCTTACTATTATCTGCTCTGAAACAATGACCTGTAAATTTTTATGCCAGTATCACATCATTTTAGTTTAAATTTATAATACATTTTGGTATTTTTGTTTGTTTGAGCCAAGACTGGTCTTTTTTTATAATCCCAAGCTATTCTTCTTCATTTGTTTCTCCCAATAAACTTTAGAATTATTCTGTCAAGTGAACAAAAACTAGTTCTTTTTTATCTTTACTTTTTACATATCAGGATGGCACATGTTTAACTCAAATGCCCTATTACAGCTGATAAGAAATCCACTGCTTTTTAACAGGATTATTTGTCCAGAAAATTTCAACTTTTACCCATAAATCTAGAGGTATGACCTTATCCAATTTCATGTTCTGTTTCTGGAAAACTGTTGAGATTTGAATGAAACCTTGCTAGAAATGCCTTGCTACATGCCTCTCCACATTCAACAGGGCTGTACCCCACCACTGTAAGTTATGCCTTCCTCAAACTGTACTAGCCTGTCCTGTAGATTCTCTTTTCTCTAGGCCAACTGTCCAAGAGCTGCATCAACATTAATTTTTAGTCACAACTTCCCCAACATTACTTTACTTCCATGAGAGGTATCTTATACCTATAGTTAGCAGAAGCAACTGAGGAGTTTAGACTCCTAGTACTCAGTCAGGCCACACAGTTCAACACTGCTACCCGGTATTTATCTGACATTGCTGAGCAATGCAGTACTTAGGATAAGTTAATCTTCATTTAAAGTTGAATTTTAAACTTCCAACCAGATTTTATGTTAATTTGTAAGGCTGTATTTTTCTATTATTTCGTCTTTTAAAGAGCATAGGAATTCGGAGGTGGAGAGACTTGGGTTCAAACTCTTAACACTACCCATTACTAGCTTTGTAACCTCCGCAAGTCACTTTTCTTTGAGTCTTTGTTCCCTCATGTATAAATGGAGATAAATAATATTTACATATTAGCACTATTATGAGGATTAGAAGCATTGTACACAAAGAGCTGACTTAGTACATTGCCAGGTACATAACATGTAATATTACAAAACCTGTTCTTGATGATTTTATGAACAATGATTATCGCCTGTGCTTTATTAATGAACTTATATGGGTTCCTGGTTTATACAGGGCAGTTCCCCCTCTACCGCATGGGTTTTTAGGTCTTTTTAAAAGTAATCTTTAGGGGCACCTGGGTGGCTCAGTGGGTTAAAGCCTCTGCCTTCGGCTCAGGTCATGATCCCAGGGCCCTGGGATTGAGCCCTGCATCAGGCTCTCTGCTCAGTGGGGAGCCTGCTTCCCTTCCTCTCTCTCTGCCTGCCTCTCTGCCTATTTGTGATCTCTGTCAAATAAGTAAATAAAAATCTTTATTAAAAAAAGTAATCTTTATATCTTTTTCCCTGCTTTTAGGCAGCTTTTAAGCTGCTACTTATCATTGCTGTCATTGGGGCTGGTTCTAAGAATAGGTCCTATTCCTTGTCTCATCTCCCTTACAATTTGCTGCTTCTGATCTTTTGTACACTGAAAAATCAGATAACTAAATTGTCAGAAATGTATCTAAATTAAGAATAAATAGGTTGAGCAGGAGGCCAAGGGGTTTTCTTCAGGGAAAGCATATGGAACCTATAAGACTATTAGAGCCTAGGCTTTGTGATAGCTATTATAACTACTCATAAGCCATTCTTATTTTCATGCTCCTGGAAGTGTTTTAAAAAATCCAGAAAATCAAACATATGGAAAAATGAGCTATTACTGTATTTTGAGAATAAAGGTAAACAAACAGGTGATTCCAGAGTTAATATTCAGGACTATGGGCCAGAAACATGTTAGAAGCTAGGAGAAATGAATCCTGTCATTATTCTTATTGGGAAGACTTCTTAATCACCAATTTTAATCTCAAGGCAGTTAGAAAATTAAAATACTAAGCATCTATTATGTGATAGGGCCCCTACATGTATTACCTCATTCCTTAAAGAGCTCTGAGAAATAAGAATTATTATACCCATTTATGGTAAGGGAATGAATGCGCTAAAAGGTTAAAGTGACTTATCCAAGCTGCAAAGTGCCAAAGCCAGAATTCAAATTAAGGTCTGTCCAATTTCAAAGGTCAATGCTCTGTAACCCTTTGATGACTTTTTTTTAAAGATCTTATTTATTTATTTGTCAGAAAGAGAGGGAGTAAGAGAGAGAGAGCATGAGCTGGGCATGGGGAGAGGCAGGGACAGAAGGGAGAAACAGACTTCCTGCTGAGCAGGGAGCCTGATGCAGGACTTGGTCCCAGAACCCTAGGATCACGACTTGAGCCGAAGGTAGATGATTAACCGACTGAGCCACCCAGGCTTCCCTGATGACTTGTTTAGACTGACTTCTCTGCACAAAAATTTACTTCCTCTACATCAGCAAATAAACAATGAGAAAGTGTAACAGATAACAGAATGTCAACCATAATCACTACAATATATATCAAGTACTTACAACTTTAAAACACAGACCTCTATGGAAAACAAGTAACTCTACTAAGACATAAAGGAAGAGACCTAAATAAAGGGAGAGGTAAACTATGATCTCTGGATGGGAGTACTTAACATGATAAAGATGTGAACTCTCCCGAAATTAATCTATAAACTCAATTCATTAACCAAAAAATTCCAAGATTTTGTGGATACTGGATGAATTCTAAATCATATGTAGAAGAATAAAGATCACATGACTCAGAAATAGTACACGTCTGACACAAGAAAAGTACAGAGTGGAGATTTGTCCTACCTGATATTAAGGAAAATTAAAAATTTTTAATAATTGAAACAAGGTGCTCCTGGTCAGAGATCAAATAGGCAATGGAAAAGAAAATGAATCCAGCAATGTACTCATGAATATATAGGAACCTGGTACATAAGAAAGGTGGTAATATACATCAATGGGGAAAGAAGAGATCATTTAATAAATGGAGTTGGGAAAACTAGCTTAGTATGTAAAGAGAATAAAATCAGATCCTTCCTTACAGAATATACAGAATACCCACTATATTAAAGAACTGACATGGAAGGCAACATTATAATACTATTAAAAAATCTAGAGAATTATCTTTATGACCCAAAGGTAGGGAAGAATTTATTAAATAAGAGTTCAAAAGCACACACCACAAGGATACAATTTGAAAGGTGTGACAAAACCAAAATTAAATATTTTTGGTTAGGGGTGAAGTACACTGATGTCTGCAACTTATATGGAAATGCATCCAAAAGGATGGATAAATGGCTGTTTAGAGATGGACAGATGGACAGTTATAATAAGATAAATGAAGTATAGTAAAATATTAATTATAGAACCTAAGCAGTGGTCATATGGGTGTTCACCATACTATTCTTCCAACTTTTCTGTGTGTACGAAGTTATAAAAATAAAAAAGCTGGTGAAAATGAAGCACTTTTGTTCAACAAAATATTGTACATAGTTTAAAAAACTGTGAATGGAAAATACATTTGATATACACACAGATACAGAAATGATACTTGCTATATACGTATGTATATACACACATTTGACAAGAAACTTCTGTGATCCGCAAGACAAGTAATCTAAAAGAAAACTTGCAAGGTAAAATAAACAGGCACTGCAGAGAATGAGAAAAACAAATGGTTAATATGTATAAAGTAGAAGCTCATCTCATCTGTAGTCAAAGAAATGAAAAGTAAAATAAAAGATACTACTTGAGGGGCACCTGGGTGGCTTAGTTGGCTAAGTGTCTGACTCTTGGATATGGCTCAGGTCACGATTTCATGGTCATGAGATCCAGACCCCTACTCAGCCCTCTGTCAGGCTCTACACTCGGCGCAGAGTCTGCTTCAGATTCTTCCTCCCTCTGTCCTTCCCCCACCCCTCTCTTAAACAAACAAACAAAATCTTTTAAAAAAGATACTACTTGAAGCCCACTGGACTGGCAAAAATTAAGAAGTTATGTGATACCAGTACTGGCAATACTATGAAGAAAGAGAAACCCTTAAGTGTTGCTCACAGAACTATACATTAGTACAGAAACAATCTAGAGCAACTTGGCAATATGTGGCAAAAAACCTATATACCTATCTTATAGAGTCCAGGAATTCTACTCTTGAGTATATACTTCAGATAAACTGACACAGGAACACAAAGAAACAAAGACATCTATGAAGATACTTCCTGCAGCACTGTTTGGAACACCCAAGAACTGGAAATCAATAAATAAAATACTGTGACATTACTATTTGATGGCCATGAGGTATGAACCATGTATGAATATGTATAGATCTCAAAAATAACAGAGTGAAAAAAATAAGTAGAATGAGATGTACAGCACCTTTCCTGTTAAAAAGGGGGAAAAATCTACACATACAAACAACACGATAGACTCTGCAAGGATACACGCATGTCTAAATAAATACATGGAGAATGACTTGAAAGGACATACTCCAAATACCCAAGAGAGGGTAACTATAGGAAGAGAAGGGAATTAGATCATGAATAAAGACTGAAGGGGACAAAAACCAAACATAAAACTAAATATGAAAGTTCACACAGATCATGCATGAACTGATGATGACAGAGGATCATCAACTGAGGAGACTGTCACAGCAATCAATTTCAGTGTTTCTGAATTCTAAGCTAAACATAAAACAAAAACTTCCCCATCCCCAAACACCATAAAAACACATGCTTAAAGGAAATGTAAAAAAAGTAAAAGAGAAATGAACTGGCCACCTCCCTGTCACATGGCTTACCGGAGTACACAGCACATGAGCAGCAGATGGGTTGGGACATTAGCTGGATTGAGCATACTGGGTGTATCTGACTTCATACAGGCCAGGAAGGCCCGCATCCTTCTGTTCTTGTCCTCAACGGCTTTGCCTAGCCAGAGCTTCTTGAGGTTTGGGCAAGTCCATTCCCGAAACGTCAGTGCAGACACCAGCTCAGGGGTTTGAGGAGACTTCCCTTTATAGGCAGACCACTCTTTGAGGATCACTGAAGGAACTAGAAAACAGAAATTGAGGAAAAACAGGTTCTAGAGAATGTCTGAGCATTTCTTCAACTGGCCACAATTGACAGGATCATCTGTCATATTTCAACATCTTTTTATTTTTTGTTACCATTAAATTTTATTGTTAACAGTAGTAACAGCGGGAATAGTAAACACTTATCAGATGTTTGATACATGCTAAGAACTTTACATATAAATGTAAATCTCACTTATTTCTCAGAACTCAGAACTCTAATCCTGAGAGAGAAGTATTATATCTATATTATCATAAAACATAGTACCCATTTTTCAGATGAAGAAATAAAAGTCTCAAAATCACACAATTATATTAAAACTCATTTAAGTACATGTACCAGGCTAGCAAGGAAAGAAGTCCAACTAAGAATTACATAAGTATCTGGCTTCATACAAGATGGGATTGGGAGGAAGACAAACCATAAGAGACTCTTAATCTCACAAAACAAACTGAGGGTTGCTGGGGGCAGGGGGGTAGGGAGAGAGTGGTTGGATTATGGACTTTGGGGAGGGTATGTGCTATGATGAGTGCTGTGAAGTGTGTAAACCTGGCGATTCACAGACCTGTACCCCTGGGGCTAATAATACATTATATGTTTATAAAAAATTTTTAAAAAATATCTGGCTTCATTATAGACTACAGGACGCTCCAAAAGATTTTTTAAAATTTCACAAAATTCTCAAAAAAAATCTTTTAGATTTTTGAAGGTTTAACAGATGAAGAAAACATGGCTTCTGTCTACTTCTGGTATACATCAGGCTCTTAAGCTATGGCCTCTTTTACTTAAGACATCTAGCATCTAATCAATTACCCAAGCTAGAAACCTGGAAGTCATCCCAGAGTCTACACTCTCCTTCACCTCCTACACATCTGGTTATTTCCAAGGTCCTGCTGATTCTATTACTTGATTATGTTTTATATCTGTGCCCTTTTCTTCATCACAACAAATATTGCAGAGGTTCAGATCTCATCACCTGACAAGTCTCCAGACTGCTGTCCCAGACTTCATCCTGTCTGGTGTACCTCATATGCATGCTCCACAACTGTGAGAATTCTCTTTTTAACAAAATTTTTATTTTGAAATAATTAATTCACAGGGAGTTGCAAAGACAGTTGAGAGAGGTCCTGTGTATCCTTACCCAGTTTCTCCCAAAAGTTATATCTAAAACAATTATAATATCAAAGCTAGGAAGTTGACCTTGGTATAGTTGTGTGTATAGTTCTATGTCACAGGTAGTTTTTTTTGAATTCTATTTATTTATTTGACACAAAGAGAATACAAGTAGGCAGAGTGGCAGGCTGACGGAGAGGGAGAAGCACACTCCCCGCTGAGCAGAGAGCCTAATGCGAGGCTTGATCCCAGGACCATCATGACCTGAGCCGAAGGCAGATGCTTAAACCGAGTGAGCCACCCAGGCACCCCTCACACGGAGGTTTGTATAACCACCAATACAATCAAGATACAGAACTATTCAATTACTACAAAGATCTACTTTATGCTACCCCTTTTATGGTCACACCCAATGCCCTACAGCACAATCCCTAATCCCTGGCAACTACTAATCTATTCTCCATCCTTACAATTTTGTCAATTTGAGAATGTTATATAAATAGAATCATATAGTATGTAATCTTCTGAGATTGGCATTTGTACCTGGCATAATGCCCTTAGGATCCTTCCATGTTGCTGCATATATCAATACTTTTTTGCCAAGTAGTATTCCATGGTATGGCCATACCACAGTTTAACCATTCATCATTTGAAGGACATCTGGGCTGTTCCCAGCTTGGGGCTATTACAAATAAAATTTATTATAAATATTTTTTATAGGTTCCTGCATGAAAGTAAGTCTTCATTTCTCTGGGATAAATGCCCCAAAGTGTAAGTGCTGGGGTGCATGAGAAGTCTATTTTGACTTTTGAAAGGAAATGCCAACGTATTTTCTAGAGTAGAGGTACCATTTTACATTTCTACCAGCAATTTATGGATGATCTAGTTCCTCCACATCCAATCCAGCATGTGGTATTGACACCATTATTCATTTTAGCCATTCTGATAGGTATATAGTTATATCTCATTGTGGTTTTAATTTGAAAGTCTTTGTGCACCTGGGTGGCTCAGTCACTAGGCGTCTGCCTTCGGCTCAGGTCGTGATCCCAGGGTAATGGGATTGAACCCTGCACTGGGCTCCCCGCTTAGCGGGAAGCCTGCTTCACACTCTTCCACTCTCCCTGCCTATGTTCCCTTTCTCACTGTCTCTCTGTCAAATAAATAAATAAAATCCTCCTAAAAAAATTGCAATTCTTTAATGGCTAATGATGTGAAACATCTTTTCATGTCTTTATTTGCCACACATATAATTTCTTCAGTGAAAGGTTCGAATTCTTTTGCTGATCTTCTAATCAGACTGTTTCCATAATGCTTAGTTTTCAGAGTTCTTTATATATTTTATTTTTTAAAAAATATTTTATTTTTTTTTTACCAGAGAGAGAGTGAGAGAGCGAGCACAAGCAGGGAGAGCAGCAGGCAAAGGGAGAAGCAGACTCCCCAGTGAGCAGGAAGCCCAATGTGGGACTCGATCCCAGGACCCTGGGATCATGACCTGAGCCACAGGCAGATGCTTAATCGACTGAGCCATCAAGAGTTCTTGATATATTTTAGACAGTAATCTAGATGTGTGGTACCTGTTCACCTATGGATGTCCAATTCATCTAGTACCATTTTTTAAAAGGACTATCCTTCCTTTAATGAAGTACTTCTGCAGCTTTGTCAAAAATCAGTTGGTTGTACTTGCATGGGGCTATTTATGGATTCTCTATTCTGTTTCATTTCTCTGTCTGTCCATATTACTACCACCGATACCACACAATCTTAATTACTGTAGCTACACAGAAAGTCTTGAAAATCAAGATAGAGTGATTACTGCCAACTTACTCCTTTTCAAAATTGTTTTAGCTGTTCTAGTTCCTTTGTCTTTTCATATAAATATTAGAATAATCTTGTATATATCTACAAAGAACCCTTCCAGTATCTGGATAGGAATTGTGTGAAACCTGCATATCAGTTTGAAGAGAAGTGACATTTTACTATGTTGAATCCTCCAATTCATGGAGATCTAGGTCTCTCCATTTACATAGTTCTTCATTGATTTCTTTCATCAGCATTTTATAATTTTCAGCATACAGATCTTGAACATCTTTTGTTAAATTTATGCCTAAGTATTTCATTTTCTTTGGAGGAATTATAAATGGTATTTTTAAATTTTGGTTCCTCATATTCATTGTCAGTATACAGAAATATAATTAATTTATGTATCCTACAAACAAGATGAACTCACTTATTAGCTCTAGGAATTTTGTTGTAGATTGTGATTTTCTACATAGACTATATCATCTACAAGTAGGGACAGTTTTATTTCTTCCCTTCTGATCTGTATGTCTTCTGTATCATTTTCTTGCCTTTCTATGCTGGCTCGAAGTTCTAATACTATGCTGAAGAGCAGCAGTGAGGGCATAACTAGCCTTGCTCCTTATTTTAGGAGAAAAACAGTCTTTCCCCATGAAGTGTAATGTTAGCTGTAAGGTTTTTGTAGATGTTCTTTATCAAGTTGAAGGAATTCTCTACTCCTAGTTTTCTGAGATTTTTTTTTTATCATGAACTGTGAAATTTTGTTAAATATTTTTCTGCATCCATTGGGATGACCAGATACTTTTTCTTTATCCTGTCTATATGGTAGCTTACATAGACTGATTTTTCAAATATTGAACCAATCTTACAAGATAGAATAAACCCTACTGGGCAGTGGTGTGTAATTCTTTCTATATATTGTTGAATTCTACAGATGAATATTTTGTTAAGAACTTTTATATCTATACTGATGAAGGATATTGGTCTGAAGTACTGTTTTTACATACTGTCTTTACCTGGTTTTAGTATTGGGGTAATACTGGCTTCATAGAGTGATTTGTTAAGTGTTCTCTCCTATTTCCTGAAAAAGATTTGTGTAGAATTGATGGCAATTCTTTTTTTTCAATTTAAAGATTTATTGTCCACAATAAGTGCCTGACTATATAAAGCATTGTTGGAAATTAAAAGACTTACGAGACAGACTCTATGTACTCTTTTAAAAAAGGAATTATTATTGAGGGGTGCCTGCTGGCTCATTCAGTAGAGCATCCAACTCTTGCTCACAGAGTCATGAGTTTGAGCCCCATGTTGGCTCTAGAGATTACATTAAAATTTCTTAAAAATTTTATCCTTGAAATATAATTGATATAAAATGTTATATTAGTTTCAGTTGTACAACATAGGGATTTGAAAATTATCTGTTAAAAATTCAGTAGAATTCTCCAGTGAAATTAATTCACTGCATTCATATGCAATTGTTATAAATAAGAATTTATTTATAAGATTTCTTTTTTGGGAAAATTTAAATTTTATTAGTATTTACAGGGCTATTCAAATGATCTATTTCATATTAGGTGTGTTGTGGTAGTTTGCAATTTTCAGAGATTGCTCCATTTTGTTTCAGTTGTCAAATTTATGTGTAGAGTTGTTTACAGTATTCCCATATAACCCTTTGGATATCTGTAGGTACTATGGTGTTATTCCCTGCCTCATTCTTGGTATTAGTAATTGTGTGTTCCCTATTTTCTTCTTTGCAGACTTTCTAGAAGTTTGTCAATTTTATGGTTCTTTTCAAAGAACCAGGTTTTTGTTTCACTAATTACTCTGTTATTTTTCTGTTTTCAATTTCATTGGTTTTTGCTCTTTATTATTAATTCTTCACTTTTGTTTGCTGCAGGCTTAGCTTTCTCCTCCTCTTGTTTCTTGAGGTGGAAATGCAGATGATGCTCTAATTTGAGCATTTAGTACCATAAATTTCCTTCTCAGCAATTTAGCTCCATACCACAGATTCTCATATACTGCATTTTTATTTTCATTTCATTCCATGTATTTCTTTCTTCCTCTTGAGA